TGGCCAGAAGAAAGATGCATTTGACTGTGAAATGATAGATTATTGCTTAGTGAGTATGATCAGTTGTTTTTCCTGGGAAGGACTGGGAAAAAAACATACAGCAATTTCCATAAGCATTCGGATCCCCATTTACATAAAGATGAATCCAAATGCAAAGCAGCACGTAGTTGAAACAGGTCCCCTGGCTGTACTGAGGCATCAACAATCATCCCCAGAAGATTCAGAATCCATCAAACGTGTCAATCAAGGGCTGATCCAGTGAAACTGAGGAGAGTGAGAATAAAACATTTAGACTCTAGCCCTTAGTGGGGATCAGTGATGTCTGAAATGTATTTAATTAAGTTGTTAGGACCCACAGTTGAAAGGTGAAGGCAGACTTTTATGTTTTATTTGTGTCTGTATGTGCATGTGTTTGTGTGTCTGTCTCATAGCAAAATATTTCATGAACCACTTGACACATTTTAATGAAACTTTCAGGAAATGTTCATTGGATGTACATCCATAGGTGATTAAACTTTGGAGCCAACCCAGTTCAGTATGGCCACCACAGTTAGCTGACCTTAACAGACATGCATTGCTATGATTCAGTCAGTTTAACAATACTGCGCTAATTAAAAAAAAATTACTTCAAGTGTTAATGATTTAGATCATGCACTCTAAGTGCTACACAGTGTGCAGAATGTTTGTTTAAAACTTGAGCATTAGTTGTTGAAATTGATGCCTGTTAGCAAAATATCTCATAAACCACTGGTGTTTTACTTATACATCCAGATAGTAGTGGTGGATGTGCAGCCACAACTGAAAACATTTTCGAGTCAGTCCCATTCAAGACAGCTACTGCAACAAAATGATGAAATTTAAGAAAATGGCTTTAGTACTTTTACAGATTTTGAGCTGAAACTTGATGTGGTAATAACCGAGAGTCATTCATAACACATGCACTGAGCGTGCCGTCCTACAATATGGTAAATGGACTGTACTTATTTAGCACCGTTCTATCTTATCAAGATACTCAAAGTGCTTTACACTACAATCTCTGCCTCATTTACATATTCATACAGCACTCTACTATATCTATACAAAGAATAATTACCGGTAGTAGTGTATCACATGCATGTGCAGATGGGACACACATCGGAGGCAATAATGGGTTCAATGTGTCTTGCCCAGGGACACTCCAGCATGTGACTGCTGGGGAATCGAACCACTAACTCTTGCATTGGAGGACGACAGCTCTAAACACTCAGCCACAACCGCCCCAATATCACATGAGCAGGATGTTATTTTCAAGGTTTGACCACAACAACAACATTTTCCTCATTTCTCAGCATGGATCATTTTATTTTGAAACTCTGGCATGAAAGCCGCTGGGCGATCTGTATTCCTTCAAGAAATGCTAAGCCTTTAATTTTAAATCACATCAATAACTATTTCATCACATGACTTTGCTGCTGGTTTTTAAACTATGTTTGCAGGGGTACAACACATTACATCGCAACACTGTTTAATACGTTCTGATCAGGGGCCTTGGACCTTTTTCTCTATACGATGCAAATATTATGAATTTCTGCAGGCTTTGCTCTGACATTTTGCAGACAGAGCCTGAGGGACAAAGCGTATCAAATGGGATGGAATTAAGTGTTGAAATTAATCGGGATTTATTTTTATGTATGCTATGACGAGCATGAATCAAATCGTATTAAGGGAAAATAGAAGGAATCTAAATTGAGGATAAACAGTTCTTGTTTCTTCGAGAGCTCAATGGATTATATGTAGATCAGTTCTGCAGTTTATCTTTACTGTCATGTATTGAATTTCATCGAACTTTACGTAAATGTAAGAGCTGTAATTTATCACATTTCTATACATGAAAGAGTCGACCTACATCAGACGTTTAATGTGACAAAAAATTACAAGCACTGCGACAGCTAACAGCAAGAGAGAAGCAGAATTTTTTTTATTTTGTATGCGTTTTGCTGTAGCGGAGCTCCATCAGTCCAATTCTACAATCAAGGATAGATGTTTGCAGGCTGAAGACACGGGCCAACAGTGTTAAAAAAAAATGAACATCTTATTTTTAAAATGGCAATCTGCAGTTTTAAACAATTCTCAGCAGTCACATAAACAACTGTAAGTTTTAAGAGAATGCCTATTAAGTTTATTATTTCATGAGAGTTAGATGACAACATGCATATTGTTCAGTTAAGGCTCATTAGTTTTGTTTTGCAGCATCTGGTATCCTTTAGCTCGACAACGATCCATTAATAACTTTAAGGAGAAAGAACAAAAACAACACTTATGTGCTTGAATTTCTGACTTTAAATGTAAAAATCCAATTAATAGAAATGTCTCCTGATTGGTTTCTGGATGTCACAATCGAATGCAAATCCAAAATTCAAACGTCTGGCTTAAACGATTCATTTTTTAAGTAAACGTTAGAAAATCTGTATGCGTCTTTACTTTTGGTCTTAATTAATACGGACACTGCTTTTTTAGAAGAATAAATTTGCAAATATTTCCCACTAATTCCCACTCTCTACTGTTGAAATTCATTAACTTCTACTTTGTATTTAGAAAGAATGAATGATCCGACCTTGTTCTTCAACTGTGATTTTGACAATAGCGAGCATTGTGCCACCTCTGCAGGCAGCCCACCACCTACACGTTGAGCAGTTTATGCTGTCCAAGCCCCTCCAGTCGTTGACTCAGCCCCCCAGTTTAACCACCATGGCCTGTATTCATTCAGCTGTGACTAAGTGACTCTCCCGCATGTTTCATAATGAAATCATGTGCAGGAAGTCCCATGAACTGGAGCCACGAAGGAATGCCAGTTCTGTCTCTCTTTAGAACAGAGAAAGGATTCAAGGATTCAAGGTTCTTTATTGTCATTCACATCACATGTGGTACATGAGGTGAAATGAAATTGTGCACAAAGGGTCCCAGTTAAACCCAGCGATAGCAAAAATATAAAGTGTAAAAAGAAACAGTAAATAAGTATCTAAGATATGAACTAAGATATATGCTAAACGAACAACCAATGGTACACTATTCAGTCAGTTTGTATAAAAACACACATGGAATATCGCCATTTTTACACAAATTTACTCATTTTCAGATTACAGGTCTAATATAAACAGATCAAAACTGAATTGTAAAAAAAAAAATGAAGTAGCTTAGTGTATATTGTATTAGTTAGAAAAATTAGAAAGAGTTATTCGTTTTGTTCTGTTACTTGAAGATTATTA